AATCCTAAGTATATATTTGATTTAGAAATACATTTTACTGAAAAGTCAAATATGGCATAATAAAATCTATCTATAAATACAATTGCATTCCACTATAAAAATTTAATCATATACAATATTTTTATAAACAGACTGAAATTAAAAATTCTGCGAAGTAGCATCAAACATGAAGAACAATATGAGAAATCTTCATTCGGATATAATAGTAAATTTATTACATTGTTAAGTTTATTTAAACAAAATGTAGAGAAACACCAATTTTTTATTTTGTTCTGAACTCCCTATTGACAATTTTGTTAAGTATCATTTTGTTATTTTTACTTTGAATATCTTTTGCCAGAATATTTGAAAGTGTCTAGCATTTTGGTTCATGGAAGGCAAATATATCTGTAGACGTAAACATATATTTTAAATGATGTATTGATATTTAAATTCGTGTAAAATGGCAATTTCTATTTATTTGGCATTTCAGGCAGCTAATAAATTTCAAAGTAAACTGTGCGTTTCTAAGTGAAAATGTATAATGATGTGTTCACATTTTATTTGTTTTCTCGACAGTGGTATTCGAGAAGATCATGTTTCGGTAGTAAAATATTTATAGCATGTAGTAAAAGTTGAAATTAGATCTATAACAATTTATACTTGGAAAATATTTAACTAAATAAAATATAGACTAAACGATAATCGTAAGAGATAATGTAGTAAAGTTGAAGTTATCTTTATTTAGAGATTGTTAAGAGAGCTTTCACTATAGAAGGTTAATGATTGATGTAATTGAATTTTATAAAATAACAAATAATTACGAATAAATACTACATATTTTTTAACATATTTTTTACCTGGAAATAGGTAGAAAATTCATAGAGATAAATAAATAAAGTTCTAATCTCAAGTACTACGATGATAATTTATTTTGCTGTAATGGGAGCCTGTTTCTGTCTTATTTCTCTAACAAATTGCATAACAATTGAATTTCACTTTCAATGAAATTTAATACATCTAAGAGCAATACCGCCAATCCTGGTGAATGATTCAGAATGACTTTAAAAGTTTTGGCATCATTCCATCGGTTAATGTGACTTCTATCTTGAATGATAGAAATATATAACACATGTCAAGAGCAACAGGTCGAGAAATCATATGTTATATATTGCTTTAATGAAATTCAAACAAAATTATATACATCATATATAAATTGATTCTGTATAAATGAAAATAATTATATCTGTTCTTATACTATTTGAAACGTTTATGATAAAGGATAGTCAAGAATGTGCTTTTAGTACTGTCAAAAAATATTTTTTATTTTTATTTTCTTCCAATATATGTTCAAATTAGTTTTCTTGGCGTCGTATAAACCATCTTCTTTTATTATATTATATATACTTTAATCAAACTATATTTTAAACGGATTAGTGCCATTATATAAGTTAACCTGAACGCTTGATGAACATTTTTATGTTTTACTTCCATATGCTATGAGGTCTATATAGATCTTTCAAAATTGATATCTCTAATTATATTACATATTAATAAATTTATTCATCATACTGATATCAATTTTACAAGTTTATTTATCAGCCTTATTTCTTTAAAAATTTTATTTTATTTTAGTATTTAGCAACAAAGCGAGTTCTATAGAAGAATTTGCAAAATTATTTAAATGGTAATAATAAATTTACAAAATTGCAAAGCCAAGTCCCAGGTTTTTTTGCTTTCGAGATTTAATTGTCCAAGATGTCATTTTTAACATTAAGCAAGAAGTTTGATACAAGAATTGAGGAAACTTTTTGAATAACTTAGATCTTAGAACTAAAAACAAATGATAGTTTCTTGTATTTAGTACAAATTTTATTTCATAAATTACAAACATTTACAATATGAACAATGAAATGCAAGATTGAGATTACTCGAATCCTCAATATTACTTATATCTTTTTATAAAAATATAAACTAATTTCTTTAATTCAATGCAAAATAGTTAGTGAAACTGGGAGGTACAATAGAAAATATATAAAAAAATTGAAAAAACTAATTGTGAATTTTAAGAATATTACACACAACTTTAGCAATAAATATAAATAGCTAAATCATTGTAAAAGCAAACCAAGGCAATTATAATGACTGATATATTTATAACATTTAGCAATAAATCAATGTTTCGATTTTTTGACATCATATTTACAAGTTTAATTTTTACAACATTTAAATTTGTTTATGATAATACACTATTTATGACCTTGGTATGGGGTGGTTTTTCAGAATTATCAAAATAGATTTTTTTTTTATTATTTAGCATATCTTATAAAGAAAACATGTTCTTTTATTAAGGATATCTATAAGTAAATTATAAAAATTGATAGTAGCCACATTATTGCTGAACTCAGACGAATAACACTTATTTGTCTATTCTATCAAGTATTTTGGGTATTATAATAATGTAACTTTTTTATGACATCGTCTGCTATCAATCAAAATCGTATATAATGAGATTTATCTGTTTTCTATAGAAAATCAATATCTTGTGATAATTTTAGCAAGGTGTTAAAAAAAATCATGTTTATTTATGCATATATATATATATATATATATATATATATATATATTGTTATATATTCATATTTAAGGGCCAATTATTGGATTAAATAGAAATGTTATAATAACACTATGTTACGGGTCTATATTGGTATTAGTTGCTAGACTATGTATTTGCTGTATGATCTGGCATTTTACACATAAAACCTAACCTATATTATGCACCAACGTCAAATAATAATTTTATCATAAGTGCAACTTTCTGATGTTTCTTTGAGAACATATACGTGAAGTTAGGTTTGTTAGAATATAGGTATCACATTGTTGAGAAAGTGATTTAATCGAATGATTCAAAAACATTAGATATACGTTGGCAATTGGTATTATTACAATAAAACTAAACGTCAATACATTTTTTTTCTCTTTTTTATTATTTGCTCCTGTTCCATCCTTAAAATCAGCAAATTTTCGGTCGTACTTTAAAATGTCTAAATAGAGTGCCAATCCATTGATAGTGCATTCGGATATATACATTAAAAAATGAGATACATTTTTGTACAATGTATTTTGTGAACTGTTTTGCACAACTTTTACAATTGCTTCGAATTCCGATTTGCTCATTAATTTTTTCCAATTTCCAACTTGCCTAAGTTGCAGTGTCATCCTCTCCTCCAACATTCGTTTTAAATTTTAATCTATGCAAATAGTCTTGAATTTGTATAAAAGATAGGTAATCTCATATAATACACAACATACCTCTATTATGATGATATTATAGAGCGCGTGCGTTCGTATTTCCCGCCCGGCCGATGCTATTCTGAGTTCGAGCATCTCCTAAATTGGACGCCAATGCCGCCGACCGAACACTACTAGACATTAGACACTTGAACTACTACTACTGCCGATGGGAAAAACATTTCTGATAATTTCACGATAATGATAACAATAAAGCAAATCCATCTAACTATACAAAATATTTACTGTTGGAATTAGGGTTTGTCGGTTTTCAAAAACCGGTTTTAAAAACGGCGAAAATTATGAAACTTAAAAACCGGCTTTTTAGTGAAAAAAGTCGGTTTTCACTGTATAAATGGAAAATGCCAAATATAGCCAAATATAAAGATAGATGAAAGCGTTTTGATTCTTGAAATCATATCGGTTCAATAACATTTGATATAATATCTTATCAGTATGCAATGGTTCCCAGAAAGGTTTTTTATATATTAATTTAGATTTTTAAACTAGTGTATATATTAATTTAAATCAGTGTGATTTCTTCTTGAAGAAGTAACTTCCCCTACTCAAACTTAAATAAAGAGTTTTAAACCCTAGAAGCCACAAATTAAAGAACAAAACAATAAAGCATAATATGGTCGCAAGTATGACAGTATTTTCTATTTCAGGAAATATTGCGAGTAAACAAAGGTCACGTCCAAGTAGAAATTCAATAGACGTTCTAAGTTTTTTTAAATCATATTTTATTAAACAAAAAAACAATCAGAATGTTTAAAATTAATTAATTAAAATTACTCGGAACAGGCAATACCTGAGTTTAGCTTAATTGTTTTTAAAACTAAAATTGATATTAATATTTTTTTTTAATTTAATGAAATTTTTATTTATAAATGTATTATTTTGATTTATTTGAAAACTTTCTTTTCATTATTATAAAAATATTTTTATTCTTATATATGAAAATGATGCGTGAATAACGAATAATTATTTTCAAATTACTTAATCCGGATAAACTATTATTTTTTAGTTCTACTAATTAAAATTAAAATAATTTTGTTTACTATATATAAAGTTGAACAATAAATAAATTCAGTCAAATACTGCTCTAAATTACACTAAATTTGCGGATAAATTACAGAATATTTATTTTCTATATAAAATTCGAAAACCGGTTAAAACCGTTTTTTTAGTAAAATTAAAATTCGAAAACCGGTTTTCTAAAATATGTCGGTTTTTGTATAAACCCTAGTTGGAATACGTAATGAAATGGCACGTTCTAGATCAAATGACTAATCAGCCTGGTTCTACCTATTTTGCATTACTATTACATATCTCATCATTTTTTAATTACAGATTATCCATAAGAATGTATTTTTATAAGGCAGGTTTCTGGTGTAAAACAACAACATCTTTACTCATTTCTAATTACCATTTTCTAAGTTTTACTTTTCAAACTTTAAATTCGATGTATTTTCTCGAGCAAGTTGCCAATTATCAGCATTTTTGCATTACTTTTCAAACTATGTTTTCTGCCTATATAGGATCAATCCAGTGTTCTTAGTATTTTCAAAAGATTCTTATTCTCTCTATGCTGTACTGGTTAACTATATTTTATTTTCATACTATTGAAAAAAAAAACTAAATATTTATTCATCACTAATTCTCGACTATCTTCCCAAATTTGTTTATATGAATTATTGTACGATCTAATTTTTTTTCTATTACTATAGATGCAAGGAGTTGTGTGACGTGTGACAAGGTGCTGGAGGAGTTGGAGAAAATCGACGACGACACTGACAAGTTCGGAGTTGACTTCGTCAAGATAAACGACAAACGACTCGCCAAGCAGTACGGCATCAAGAACTTCCCGGCTCTGACGTACTTCCGCGAGAAAGAACCGATCATTTACGATGGTGAGGAAGAAAATTATCACTCGAAATAATCATAATCACAAAAATCAGCTTCAATAAAAAATTTTAAGTCATCTTGAATTCATAACTCAAGTTAACTTAAAGCAAAACTAGTGGGGCGCATGGCATCGTGCCTTAAGGCAATTTACTTGTACTTCCCGAACCGTAATTTAAAATTTTCAAACGTTCAGAGAAGAAAAATTGGATTTTGTGGAGAATTTTTATTTTTTTTCAACATTCTTCAATATTTTGGAAACATTTGAAAAAATTGAATATTGAAAAAAACTCCTATTTTAAACTGATATTGAGAACTTGAAATATTTTTAACTGACTTTATACTGATATTGAAAACTTGAAATATTTTTGAAAACTGGATTTTTTTAATGCTTGAAAATTTTGAAATTTCTGAAAGTTTTTGATTCCCGTTCGTGTTTGTTGTTCCAGACTGTCATTTTCTTGACATGATCAAAATAGCATTTTTTTCATCTTTTTCTCCGAAACCACTAGGTCTGCTTTTGCAAAACTTAATCAATTCTTCATTTCGTCGATACAAGTGGAATGTTTTGAAAATTGAACTTAATTTCAGTTTTCTGCATTCCTTGCCCAAAGGTTAAACTATTTTTAACAAGAACTAATCAGGACGTCTCCCTTCAATAAGAATCGAATGGTTTTTCACACATACATAAATACACATAAACATCAATTTTTTCGAAGGTCTACCAAAATGTTCAGAAATCTCTGAAACGTACAGATATGCAAAAATTTCCATTTTCGATTTTTGAACTATTACTATAACTTACTCTATGGAAAGTAAATAATGACTTCATACAAAATTTATAATAAATATTTATCGTTTTTTAAGAAAACTTTTAGAAACATGCCGAATGTTTATATAAAGTTTGAAATTGAAATAATTTAAAATTTTAAAAAGTAGATATAAAATACTATTCTTAATTAACACTTAAAAAACAATTTCCTTGATCACAATACAAAATTTCCATTATCGCCTAAAATTTTTAATTTTTCGTCGGGTAAGTTATTGCAATCGTCCAAAGATCGAAATTGAACATTTTTGCATATCTTTACGTTTTAGAGCTTTCTGGACATTTTTACATACTTTATGAAAAATTGATATGTGTGTGTATGCGTGGATAGAATTTTAGGTTGACGTTTTCGAGTATACGAAACAACCTATTTGAATGATTCAAAAAACAATCAAATCTTATTGATAAGAAGACGTGATGATAAATTCGACGTACCACTAGTTTGATTTTTGTTCTAGATGGGATTTATAACAGATAATTTTATTAATGCGTTTCTTCGATTCCTTAAATAAAATGTATGTGTGTTATTTACGATTTTGGTTAATTTTCCAGGAGACCTTATGGACGAAGAAAATGTTTTGGAATTCCTCACGAGTTTGGAAGCAATGGATTTGCCCGACAGGATAGAAGAAGTCAATGCCAAAATTCTCGAAAAAATTGTTGAGGACACAGATTACGTGGCTGTTCTATTTTGTAAGTTCTTTTTAAATACTACATTAGATCCTTCCATAAAAAATTAAATTAGGAAGTCTCAGATGTTTTTTTTGGTGGTCAACGACAATGATGAAGTTAGTTTTGTGCATGTTACTTGTCATCATAAAATTCTTTTTAATTTTTGACCATATATAAAAATTTGTAGTTAAAAGATATGATGTACGATGTATAAACTGATGTTTCTTGTAACAAAAGATATAACTAAAATTTAATTTTGAACTAACAAGAAAAATCCTTGAACCGTAACGATTTTTACTGTTTTATTAACTCTGATCAGATTTGAATTATTAATGATTAAACATTCATAAGCAAAATTAACTATAAAGTTGATTTTTTAGTAACCTATATATTCGAATATTCATATATTCAAAAAGACTAATACTAAAGCCAATTATTTTATCATTAAAGCAAATAGCCGAAATTTGAAGTTCGGGTTAGTAAATTATTAAAAATAACCAAAAGAACACATCAAATGATCAAATTAAGAAATGAATAAAAAAATTTCATTATCATTATTAATTTCTCATATTTCCAGCTAACAAATCACTGTACTGTACTTGTACCTAACTTGTATTTCTATGTTTTTTATACATGTACTCCCTTCTTATTGTGGCGTCTTTGAACAGGTCCGAACGAGGAAACTTGCAAGGGGCCCGGAAGCAGTGAGTAAAATTCGAGAAAAGCCATGATTTTATGTGTCTTTCTGTGTTAGAAAACTATTGAAAATAATTTAGGCAGAAGAAGAAAATCTCAAAATAAATTCAGCTTTATAATATAATATAATAAAAATATATCATAGATTTATCTTATATTTAGAAGATTTTCCTTCCTAAGCTAAATTATTTTCAATGCTAATTTATTATGCCAAACTTTTATGTTTATTATAATATGCCCCTTTAATAAGCTAAATATCACGCAGCTTAATTTTATTGCTTCTCAAATATACAACTGTCTCAAAACAGTAAAATATACATAAGTTTTATATACTTCAATTTTGGATTTTTTATTTAATTGCTATGTATATAGCTTGATTGGCTAAAACATTTCTCAAAAAGCACAAATTATGAAAAGACATTATGAAAAATGTTACTCTTTGCACAAACAAAAATTAGCCCCCAATTGCAAAATCATTTTAGTCATTCTAACAATATTTCTAGAAATTTTTAAGTCCTGCAATTTTCTTTAGATTTTTTTTATATTGGAAGAATAAATATATATTTTTGTGCTCTAGGTATAAAAAAATATTTATTATAAAAAATCAAAATCGTGAAAAAATTTGAAACTAATGCTCGAACTCACTTCAAATTAGGCATCTAATTTTTGGTACATCTCGTACATTTGTCGAGAATTTGATTTTACAAACTCTGCAGTAGTATTCAAAATTTAGCTTAATCATAATAAAAATAATTATATATTACCTAGAGCTAATAATTTCCCGAAAATACCATTATTACAGTTCTCACAAAATATTTTATTTCAACTTTTTAGTACACTACATAAACGTGTTCAGATTTAAACTATTTGGCAAAGTCCCAAAAAATACGTATCGACTACCACATATTTATAATTTGATTCAGATATTTAAATTTACAAGAGTATTAGTAAATTTATGAACACCAATTAATATATTTGAGAATTCAATTGTAAGAAAACAGGAACTGATTCAGACGTAGTATCGTAACAAAAACATTTACGCAATTTCAAATGCATAAACAAGATATTTGAAGGATGATATAAAAATTATGATATATAAAGGAAATATTCAGTATCAACAATTTCTTTAAGTTGTTTCAAATAATTTTGGTTTCAGACTTATTTCATCCAGATATTGATCCAAGTTTTGTTTTGACACCAATTTTATATTGTGACCATTAAAAACATTTTCATAGCCTTTAAAATTTTTTGGCCTAGATGTACTATATTTTTGAGACTACATAATGCGTGAAAATACTTTAAAATCTTAGTTCCAAAGATGATGCAATTTTTGATCTGCTATTTTGAACCATTACTAGGACATCTAACCAAAAACACCAAGAGTGTCACAGTCCCAATCAGAAAAAGTCCAAATATTTTCACCAGTATTGAAAGTAATATTGCTGAATTTTATTATCAAAATGCCTTCCATCAACCCCAATTTTAGAGTTTTCTCTAATTTTCACCATCTGGCTTTGATTTTTTTTGTTGTACATAATACCCACACAGCTTTGCCTTATCAAACCTAGCCTTAAATCATAAATCTGTATTCTACTTGCTAATTTTTTTCTAATGTCAATTTAGATAAACCAGATTGCAAGAAATGTGCTAAAGCTCTCCAGGAGTTGGAAAATATTGATGACGAAGCTGATCAATTGGGTATTGGCTTTGTGAAAATACATGATGAGGATTTGGCTGATGAGTACAATTTGGGATCACTGCCTACTCTGGTATACTACAGGCACCAGATTCCAATTATATATGAAGGTAAGATAGAAGAAGATATATTTTGTTTGTTTTGGATGAGTTGGATAACTCTGGTCATGATGGGTACTGAGAATTGATACATTTACTGATGCGCACGCATATGTTGCGTGCGACTGTTGTAATAAGATAAGCATTGTAAAAATATTGGCTTCGTAATGCTGTTCTGTACTTCAAAGTTTTCTGGTAAAATTACTTTGTCAAAACTATGTTGACTCTATATTGACGTTCCAAACTACAACTTCTTGTTGATATCTTAACTATCAGCTTTCTAAATATTTTTGGAATCTATTTATTTCTAATATATTTGTTCCAATAATATATTATCTTTTTGTTTTATTATAAAGGAGAGCTGAGCAAAGAAGAAGATGTACTGGAATGGTTGGTTGCTAACAAATCTACTGGTGATGAAGAAGATGTCATCGAAGATGTAACTCGCAAAACTTTGCATACATTGATTGGAAATATCGATAACTTGGCTGTTTTGTTCTGTAAGTAATTTCAAAACAATATGGAAATCAATTAAATAAAATTTAAAGTTTGGTTGCTTTTTAATACAAATATTTTCACAACTGATTAACTGATGAACTGATTACTAGAAATTTCTAATGCTTGGGGCACATCTAGTGTAACCGCCTGAAAAAAAGTGATTTTTGGGAATTTATATTAAAAAAACTACAAAAAATCGATAGTTTATTTTACGGATAACTATATATAAAACATGTAAAAAAAAATTGATAGTGATCAGATCATTTGTTTTTGAGTAATCCCTGCAGCAAATTCGGAAAATGCTGTTTCGAGAAAAACGCGTTTAAAGATAAAATGATCGTTATACTATATACTATATATATACTCTTTAAATAGCTGTGACTCAAAAACTATTTAAGATATCGATTTAAAATTTTGGTATGTTATTTTTAAAGGTATAACCTATCAAAATATGGAAAAATTGAAATTTCGATTTTTTGAAAATTTCACACTAGTTGTGCCCCTTAAAGAATAATATATTTTTGCTATATCAAAAATTTCGATTTTTTCTTGAAACTTCTACTTTGATACATGATAAATTTTTGAATTTTAACGATGGTTCCACCCTACAAAATAGCTAAAAATTTCGTCGATATTTGTATTAATTTTGATTTTTTTCTAAGATGATCGTGATGATGATGAATCCATGACCGTTCTCGAAGAGCTCGAAAAAATTGATGATGATTGTGATCGCCACGGAATCCAGTTCGTGAAAATTGATGACGACGCGGCAGCCAAAGAATTCGGAATTGATGATTTACCAGCAATTGTTTACTTCGAAAAAGAAGTACCTAATGTATACGATGGTAAGTGAAAATTTTCTCACATTTGGTTTACTTACTAATCATTAAAATTGGTTTGTTAGGTGATCTTGAAAATGAAGATGAAATTTTGGAATGGCTCGTTGATCAATTGGAAAAAGATGAAATTGAGGATGTCACTGACGAAATGCTTGATCGTCTGATTAAGGAAGGGAAGACTATTGCTGTACTGTTTTGTAAGTTCCAATAATACAATTATAGTGCATCCATCCAACTACATATTTGTTTTTTGTCCTTTTCCAGACGACAACAACGATCGTAAATCCCAGCGTGTTTTGAACGAACTCGAAAACATTGACGATGAATGTGATGTATTGGGCATCTTGTTTGTCAAAATTGACAATGATGAGGAAGAAAAAGAATATGGAATCGAGAAAGTGCCAGCTTTGTTGTACTTCGAAAAAGGCATTCCAACTATTTATGAAGGCAACTTGGAGGAAGAGGAAAAAGTTTTGGAGTGGCTTGATAAGCAACAGCATTCTGATGAAATTGAAGATGTCACGGACGAGATTCTGGATGGAATCATTGAGAAAATGCAGCACGTCGCTGTTTTGTTCTGTAAGTAACCAAAATTAATTTACCTCGTTTTTAAAAAAATGTGTGCTTGAAATTAATTGTTTATCCAGATGACAAGGATCAAAAGAAAAGTCAGAAAGTCCTCGGCGAACTGGAGAACATTGACGACGAATGTGACCAGAATGACATCGCCTTTGTGAAAATCGATGATGATGATGAAGCTAAAGAATATGGTATCGACAACTTACCAACTTTAGTCTTTTTCGAGCGAAGGATTCCTCATGTCTACGAAGGAGATCTCATGAATGAAGATGAACTGCTGGGTTGGATGTTGCATCAGAAGAGACACAGTGAAATTCCCGAAGTGACTGACGAGATGATGGACAAGTTGATTGAAAATACGCCTTATCTTGCCGTTATCTTTTGTAAGTAGACATAATTATCAATAACTATATGTTTACCTTGCTGACTATGTTGTTTCTTCCTCAGATGACAAAGACGATAAGCAAGATATGAGAATTCTGAACGAATTGGAAAATATTGACGACGACCTCGAGAAAGAAAACATCGTCATAGTCCGTATGGACAATGATGCTGAAGCCAAAGAGTTTGGAATAGATCATTTGCCAACGTTGGTCTATTTCGAAGACAAAATCCCAGCCATTTACGAAGGTGATCTCATGAATGAGGATGAGGTACTTGCTTGGCTCATTGAACAAAAAAATACTGCCACTATTGAAGAAGTCACTGACGAAATTTTGAAGGAACTCATTGATGACCATGAATATGTTGTCGTATATTTCAGTAAGGGAATTATAATATTAACATATATTTTGGCCAAGTTTAATTTTGTTCTTCTTTCAGGCGGCAAATGTGAGGAAGGTGAGGAATGCGATAATATCTTAGAAGAGTTGGAAAATATTGATGATGAACTTGATGAAACGGGAATAATATTTGTCACAACTGAAGACACAACTTATGCAAAGACACTCGGCTTGAAGAAATTCCCTCAACTCGTGTTCTTTAGGAATAAGGATCCTCTGGTTTACAAAGGTAATAATATCAAATTTTCATCGATATTGTCACTTTTGCTGATTCAATAATGATGACGATTTTTCAGGAGATATTGATGACGAGGACGAAGTATTGTCCTGGCTTACTGATGAAGATACTTTGGAAATCCCTGACAAAATTGAAGAAGTCAACTCACGCATGTTAGAGAAGATCCTTGCAGAAAATGACCACATTGTAGTATTTTTCTGTAAGCACCTAACTCAAAATACCTTCTAACAAAACCATGAAGTCAATTATATCTTTTTCCATTTTATTAGATAAAGAAGGAGACAAAAAATCCATGAAAATCCTAAGCGAATTGGAAAATATTGACGACGAGTGCGAAGAAGAAGACATCGATTTTGTGAAAACTTCTGATGATGGTATTGACAAAGAATATGATTTGGACAGTTTACCAGCATTAGCATTTTATAGACACAAATTCCGTACTATTTATACCGGTGATTTGATGAACGAGGATGCAATTTTAGAGTGGATCTTGGATCTCCAAAACTCAACTCCTGATGTCATTGAAAGCGTTGATAGAAAAACGTTGCAAGTTCTGATCAATGATGTTGAACATCTTGCAGTCTTCTTTTGTAAGTAGCAGATTAATAAATTGATGATAGATTTATCTGATATAATGATTTTTCTTCATTTTTATATATTTTTTACTACAGATAGTGACAAATGCGCCACATGTCCAGCAATTCTCGAAGAACTTGAGACCATCGATGATGATACTGATGAATTGGGAATTCAATTTGTCAAATCCAAGGATGCCAAATTGGCAGCAGAAATTGGTATTTTCAGTTTTCCAGCTTTGGTATTCTATGAAACTGGGGTGCCCATCATGTTTGACGGTAAGATTAAAAATATGGTATAAAAACTTAGTTTTACCAATAATATTTATGAATCTTAATCACAAATAATCGTCTTTGGTATTCACATAATTTAAGTGTCTTATTTAATTTTAAACTCCAAAAGTTTTTGGAGAAATTAGGGAAATGGTTTTTAAATTGACAAGAGCCTGAAATAATATCTATTATTATTGATTACGGCTTGCTTATGAATAAATAAAATAAATAAATTGATTTGTCCTTATTACAATTTATAGTTTTTCATATTCACAAAATTTCCATTTTTTATATTTAATTTTTGACTCAAAGAAATTTTGGGAAAATTGGTGAGAAAATTTGTCAAAATTCCTGTTTTTTTAATGATAAATTAGTAGGCAGAAATAAATTGAAATGATTTGAGATTTTCATACCTACAATAAAATTTATATGTGTTTTTAATTTTAGGTAATTTAAGAAATGAGAAAAAAGTACTGCAATGGCTAATGGAACAACAAAGTAAGAATTAAATATTATTCACTTCCCAAATTTAATTTAAATTTTATTTTTATTTATTATAATATAATATAAATCTACGCATTTTGATAAAAAAAATCTTTGGCAGTGTTTATTAAGATATTCCATAAATTTTAAGTTAATTATATGTACTTTAATAATAATAGCTATTATATAAGAAAACTTATCTTATAACAAACTAAAGCTTCACACTAATTCTATTCGTCTTAAATATTTAATTTTTTATTTTCAAATAATTTATATGTATACTAATAGCATTTTCCAGTAATAAAATAAATTGTAAAAAATAGTAAGTGGAAGCTCCAAGTGTTCCAAAAATTTTCATCAAGCAATTTAGATAAAATTTTGATTCAATTTATTTTTAAAAAAATTGAAGCTTCGAGATCGAATATTTTCATAAAACAAATTATTTCTTATATATTTTTTAATTATTTTTTTAAGGATTTTCTTGAAATTTCTGGATAAAACTAAAAATTTTATTCTTGATATAATTATCTCTTAATCCAATATTTTTTATCAATTTTTTTCCTCTTTTCTGGAAAATGTTATTTGTTGTCTTTCTGTAAAATGCTGCTTTATGTAAATATGCATGACGCGCTAATTCAGGTGATGAAGATGATGATGATGATGACGACGATGATGATGATGATGATGACGATGATGATGACGACGATGACGATGATGATGATGATGATGACGACGATGACGACGACGATGATGATGATGATGACGATGATGATTTTGACGGTGATGATAAATTTTATTGAAAGTTGTAGTTTCCAGGTAAACTTCGGTCGGGAGTAGGATCGATAGTTCAATCGGATGAAAATTATCAGAAGAGAGATTATAAGGAACTTTTATATGGAATTTTGATCCTTTATCTGAATCCTAGATAAATAACTTGGTTTTTGCACTTTATGATTTTGCCTTGATCCTTCAAATGTTACACTTGGACATAACAAAAATTTTGGTACTAAATTTTTATTTAATCCATAAATTGAAAATTTGAAGTAGAAACTTAATCACAAATCGAATTCTGAATAATTTGTTGTTGAGCCGCTTTTGGTATAGAGTAGAGTGAGGCTTAAAAGTTTGACTGTAAAAACGTCCACTGCAATTATCTCCAAAACAAGTATAGGGTAGAATTTTTTTAAAATACTATTTTAAAGTAGGAGGCAAATGATATATAACCAGTCTCTGCCTTAAATCACTCGATTTTTGCAATTTATCCTTCTAAATTGCATATTTTTCATTAATCGACAAATCAAAAAAGAAAATTTGATTTGATAATAAATTGCATTTTAAATAATTTTTCGGAAAACTGAACTAAGTATGAAATTTTTTAATAATGCTATTTTAAAGTAGAGGGCAAAAATATGTAATCAGATATCACCTTGAATCGAGTGACATCAGGACATGAAAAGCCATATTGTCAATTTTTTAACAAAAATATTTTTTCCTTGTTAGTCATTTTGATTTTGAGCGCTGTTATTTAGTTTACGATACCTGAAAATAATTTTCTAGTATACGTCATGTACATTATGAATTTTTTAATAAAAATATTTTTTTCCTTGTTAGCCATTTTGATTTTGAGCGCTGTTATTTAGTTATCCACACGTCATCCACATTGTCAATTTTTTAACAAAAATATGTTTTCCTTGTTAGTAATTTCGTTTTTGAGCGCTGTTATTTAGTTTACGATACTTGAAAATGATTTTCTAGTATACGTCATTTAATACGTCATCCACATTGTTAATTTTTTAACAAAAATATGTTTTCCTTGTTAGTCATTTTGTTTTTAAACGCTGTTATTTAGTTTACGATACCTGAAAATAATTTTCTGATATACGTCATTTAATAATACCTTACATGTGGTTGGGGTAAAAAGGGCCACCTAAACTCTCACACTAGGAATTTTACTGAACATAGTTAGATAGTTGTTTGCTTGTAGTTTGATATTTGTTATGATGTAATTGGTTTGCTTTTTGCAGTATAATAGCTAAAAGTCGAATAGGACTTTTCTGCTCCGCTCTACCCTATATATTTGATAACAATTTTTATTGGCAAATTTTATTCCAAATTGTTGCCTCATATGATGCAAACGAAAGATACACTTAGTAAGTTGCCAATAAATCGTTGCACTTTATTGTTAAAAATAAAATGATTTTATGATCTTGACTACGAGGTTGTTTTTTAATAAAAAATTTACGATATAGGATCAAAAACTCAGAAGGTTGTCCAAAATATTTAGCCAACGATCAGCTAGTATGAAATCACACAACTACAGTCCAAAACAAGACCTTCATCATCCTGATCCTGAAGTGCAGCTAAAAGTCAATAAATGAAAAGCTCTGCATTCCGTCTGCAAATATATGTTTTTTTAGACATATGATAGCAGAGAAGATTTTTTGGCAACAACTAGTATTCATAAAAAATCTTCCCTGTTATCGATGGTTCCACCATACAATTTTTGCATGATATTTCTTCTTCTATTCTGCTTCTTGAATTTTTATTTTATTTTCATCTTATTTTGCATGGCCCAATTTCTCAAGCACAGTATTAATAGTTATCGTCTGCAGAAGACTAAAAATTTCAAATTCGGTTATAGCTTATTTTTTCAAAAAAAATTATATTTCTTAACATCGGTTACTAACGTTGAATGTCTATTATTGATCGATTGAAAAATCGATCTTGAACCCGCCGAATAAACTTAAAATTTTTTGTGCATTTTAATAAGTTTTATTACTAGTTTTTTTTTATTTTCGGGCACTTTGTTAATTGTTATTAATTTCGCTGCAGGCGATGGCTGTTTCTATGTGGGATTGGGCGGCAAAAGCGTTGTACCCAAACCCGCCTCCTATGAGCCCTACCAATGCTGTCCTACTAAACTCGGTAAGGGAACAAAAGTTGCCAAGATGACGGCCACCAAGTTACCAAAACCAGCCACAAAGAAAACTGAAGGAAGTTCTAAGAAATTTGAGACCAGCAAACCTTTTACACCAGCCAGGAGCGCCAATAAGAAGGACAAACCTGTTACTGCTGCTGCCAAACCTGAAAAAAAAGAGAAAGGGAAAAAGGGATTTTTTGGGATTGGAAAATATATTAAATGGTGGTAAATGATACGAGAAAGGTATAAAAGATCATGGAAACGTATATAAAACAAATTTAATAAAGCAAGTCGTTGTTGTCCAAAAATTGTTAATTTATGATCAAATTGCAGAAGTAACTTGGGGAAGTAGTAAAATTAAATTGTGATAAATTGGACAAAATTAATTAGCTAATTGGTACAATTTTTAAAATCGGTTGAAAATTTAATACGGTTGTGAAAAGCATTAAGTACAAACTTTTCGTCATTTTTTACTCATCATGATCATCCAAATTGAGTATTTATGTTGTCATCGATAAAATCACATTATTGGAAAGTTAAGAGTTCAGATGCCTAATATATTTTGATTTTGATTTATAGATTTTTTGTTGGGCATTGATGCATACTTTGAATAAATTTTAAAAAAGTTGAATGAATAACTAATTTTATATGTAATTATACGTTTTGGCCCTTGATGTGTGTCATCATTCAGCAAAATCCAAAATACAATATTACAATGAAGGCTAATATTATATATTATATTACAAATTTTCACAATATTCACATTCATTGTAGTAAAGTATTTTAGATTTGCTGAATGATGACACCCATAATGTGTCGAAACGTATAATTAAATATAAACTTGCTATTAAATTTACCATATTTTAGTATGACGGATGGGTTGCAAATTTATTTCAAATTTATATATATTTATTAGACATAAAACCAATTTAAAAAACAAAATAATTAAAAATTTTATTTTTTTAATTTCATACGTTTCGGATTTCATCAAGGCCATCATTTAGTAGAAAAAATGCATATACTTGTAATACTATCACTAATCTAATAACACAGTCTAGAAAATTATTAATTTATAATTATTAGACTAAAATTAGTATTAGAAGTTTTAATTTTTAGTACAATATTTTAATTAATTATTGTGATAGTTTTGCAAATAAATAGCTATTTTTTTCACTGGTTGATGGACTTGATGCAGATCGAAACGTATGGATTCAATGAATTTATAATTTTTAATACCAAGTTTTTAAATTGGTTTTATTTTTGATCAAAATAATAATTAAGTGATAATTTTAAATAAGCAATAAATAATTTAATGATTCATAATGTGCGTTTCGACACTATATGTGTGTCATCATTTAGTAAGATAACAAATTCAAACCAAGAAAAAAGTAGCACACAAATTTAAACACAACTTTTAATAAAAAACCTAAAACTTGAATAAAACAAAATAAGTTAAATAATAAAATGTTGTAGTTAGTCACGTGATTACCAAATTGTAAAATTTTATTTATATATAATATATTTAAGGAAAATATTAAATTTATTACTTAACTTTTAATTTATTATATTATTTTATTTTTTGTGTTCTTTTCCTGGTTTAAATTTGTTAACTTTTAATGATGACACACATGCAGGGTCAAAACGTACAAAATAATTTTTTTTTTTATTTTTTTTTTTGACTATTTAGCTGCCAAAAACATGTCAAAAAAATTTAACTTCACAAAATTTAAAAAAATGATTCTGAACTTTATCACTTTTCAATAATGTACAAAAAGGAGTTCAAATAACACCTCTAGCTCCCGCACTATTTTAAATCCGTCCTTGTTGAAATATAATTTATTTAAAACAGGACAATATTTTTGTTGCTAATTTTTTCTTTAAAATTATAGTGTTTAATTGGGTAGATTTTCAGCTCACTATTTAGTATTTACTAAAAAAATCTGTATTTAATTTTTAAAAATAGACAAAAAAGTGTTGACTCTAAAAAATATATTTTTGAAACTGGTGTCACCACTTTTTGCCAAAGTCTATATGATACTTGTTAATTTATGTTCTTCGTAGTGGGCTAACAATTGTGATAACACTTAAATTATTTCATATTGTTTTCACAATTTGTTTTTGAGTTTTTATTAATATTTATTAAAATAACAAAATTGTAAGTCAATTGCACCACACTTTTGTAATATAAAGCCAATATTTTTCCTTGACTGATTTATTTAAAATTTGTGGTGCATTTGGCTTGTAAATTATTATTTGACAATTTTAAAATGTAAAAATGAGTTGTATATATTTTATTTAATAGACTTCTTCAACTTAACGTGTTAAACGATTATTGTTATGGTTGAATCACGAAAGTTTACGAGTGTATATCTAGTCAAAAAAAATTTCAATGCAAAATTTCGAAATTGAAGTTTGAAAGCATTGGAAAATTTAAATTTTAATAATTAGATTGTTAAGGGAAAATCATCTAATATCATGCTGCTTGTTATCGATCTATTAATTTAAAAAATAATGGGGTGGGGCGGTGAACGCTTTAAAGGACACATTTTTATATATTATTATGTTAAATTTAGTAATATGAACTTTTAACTAACTAAAAATAAAATAAAATTATTTTTTAAAAAATTCGGTTGAAGTTGATAAAATTTATGTTCAATAGGAAATGAGTATTAATAAATGGAGTTTAAGTCAGATTTTAATAAAATAAATTTAAGTAAATTATTATAAACATTTTTCGTATAATTTAAAAAAAAATCTTTCTATTTAAAGATTTCCCTCTTGGTCCTTAAGTTGTTCACCTTCCTTCACATTTGTTGTAGTTCTAAAAACTTGTTATCTATTAATTAAAAATCTATTTATCTATATATAATTACTTACAAAATTTAATTATTAAGATTCATACATATTTTAACTTGAATTCATACAAATTTTAAATGTTTTCAATTTATTTTTTAGCACTGCCATCAAGTTCAAATTTAACTCTAACAAATATTTTTAATGTACAAATCATTATGCGTAGATTGATGCTCAATTTGTATGTAAATATAAATATTATGTTAAATTATATTTTTTCTGAAAATACGCTCGTAATCTATTTCCAATTTTTTTTTTGGGAAGTTGAATTTCAGGTCGTAAAATTAGCCATTGCAGAATAGTCAGATAAGTATTGATAAAAAAAAATTGTTTATATATTAAATTTTTATGTATGGAAAATTTGGTGGTTGATTTATGATTTTTTGGATTTAGGTAATCTTGAAGATGAAGACACAGTTTTGAAATGGATGATTAGTCAAAAGGAAGATGCATCGATTGAAGATATTGATAGAGAAAAGTTGTTCAAATATATTGAGACAAAAGAGTTTTTGGCTGTTGTTTTCTGTAAGTATTATATATGAAGAAGTCTGAAGCAAATTGCTGGAACTCCCCGTACCAAAAACTAAGTTATTAAAAAAAACTTTGAAAAACTTTGAAAAAATTAGATTTTTGAGAAATTTTGAAATTTTTGAAAAAAATGGACTTTATTTGAAAAATTTGATTTTTTTGTATTTTGATTTTTTTTTTGAAAGTTTTGAACATTTTGTTCAAACACACACGCATATCAATTTTATCTAAGGGATGCCAAAATGTTCAGAAACGTCTGAAACGTGAAGATATGCAAAAAAAATTAATTTCGATATTTGTACGATTATTATTTTGATTTTATTTTTTTAGATAAAGAAGATGATCCTGAAAGTCCACGAGTTTTGCGTCATATCGAACTTATTGACGATGAAGCTGCTGAATATGGAATTAAAATTGTTCAAACCAGTGACAGACTTATGGCTAAAAAATATGGATACAGAAATCCACCAGGAATTACTTATTTCAGAAAGGTAAAAAAATTCATACATACCATTGCCTACATTAAAGCAAAACCAATTTTTAGATCGTAGTAAACGAAAGTCTACTACGTTATAACTTTTATTTAATCATCAAATTTTAAATTCCATAAAATTCTAAATACTTACGTCCACTTAATTTTACATACTTCAAATAATTTTTTTGAAAACACAAACTGCTATTATCAGAGACCTTGCCTTGATTTTTTTTTAAATTTTAGCCAAAATTTTAAAAAGATGCAGTTCTAGATTAATTTTTGTTCAATGGTCATCTTATATTTTTGGAACATATACAAATTGGCGTCTTATATTTTTTCACTGCAGATCAAATATTATTAATTTATGTTATTATTTAGGGTAAATATATAAACTACGATGGAGACGTTGATGATGAAGAAGAATTACTGGATTGGTTGACAAATCCAGAAAATATGGAACTCACCGATCACATCGAGAGAGTAAACAGAAAAATGTTCCACAAAATCAGGCAAACTTCTGATTATCTGGCAGTATTTTTCTGTGAGTATGTATGTAAATATTAGCTTTAAGTATTTGATATGAAACACTATTTTTGGTTTTACCTCGAACAGCCTGGTATCAAGCAGTAGTAAAAGATTTTTTTATATGATTTCTATCAACATGTGTGGGCATAATTTTTATTTTTAGACAGTAATGATTGCAAGCAATGTCCAAAAGTCTTGGCAGAAATCGAACACATTGACGACGAAGCAGACAGTGCTGGAATAAATTTTGTGAAAATTGATGACAGACAAATGGCCAAGGAGTATGGAGTTTTTGCCCTACCAGCTATTTTATTCTTCAAAATGGGTTCTAAGGAACCTGTTATTTATGCAGGTAATAAATCATTATATTCTTCCCACCATAAATACATGGCCACAAATTTAGATTGATCATATTTTTAATTCACTTGGAAATGTTCATTTAAAATAAATATTATTTTTGTTTAGTTCAATTCAAATTATAACTTTAAGTAATCTAGTTCCTGAAGTGCATTCTTGAAGACAATGAACTTATCTTATATTCACTTCTGTTGAAGAAATCCAAAATTTAATAAGGAAATAAAATATATAGGAAAATTCCTGGAATTTCTAAAAGTTTAATTTTGAGGTTTCTAAAGTAGTAAATGACCTCGTAATTAAATTCTATTTTTTTTTGAAAAAGGTATACAGAAAATGTTTTATTGTATTTTTTACATTGGACTATTGAGACTAATAGTTTCTAACTAAGTCTTTGTTAAGTAGGTATTATTTATTATTTGTATTATATATTAAATTATTTTATTTTAGGTGACCTTTACGACGAGGAACAAATTTTAAATTGGTTGATGATCCAACAAGATCCTTCTGGTGAAGTAATTGAAGCTTTTGAAGGAGAAAGCTTATTGGAACTTATAGAAGAATCTAAAGCCTTAGCCGTTTACTTCTGTAAGTCAAATGCTGGTGGCGTAAGTTATTATTTTTTAAATAAATTAAATTTGGACAGTTTTTTAGCCAACGCTTCATTTAATATTCTAATAGAGTGTAAGAATTCTTATTAGATTTTTTTACCAAAATACTCAGATAGTTGCTGACTCATATAAATTTGATTTTCTAGAAATTTTACTACTACATATATTTTAACCAGAATATTTAAAACTTAATCATGATATATATTTTAGCGATCAATATTAATTTATAATAATTAGAATTTCCATATTTAGATATTTATATTTTAGCATTTGGTAAATAAATTGATGTTGTAATAACTCTCAATATGCATATAGAGTCAATAATCGATAATTCGGTGTTGTAACTAAAAACTATTAAATTATAATTAAACGTATATATAAATATATATATATATATATATATATATATATATATATATTGAAATAATATGAAAAATTTTACATATAAGTGCTTTATTTTTTCTGCAATCGTGTTTAATTTTCTAAACAACACATTTTTGCTTTGTAAACTTTTGCACAAAATTGTACATTATAATAAATACATTTTACCTTTCATACAGTAACACATTTAAATATTTGTCCTTACCTTTATATTATTATTAAATAAGTTTTATGTGTAGTTTCTTCTTATATAAGAATTTTGAATTGTTTCAAAAATTTGAAGTTGCTTTCGTCTCAGATTATAATATTTTTTATTCTAAAGATGGATTTAAATTTAAGTAAGCATAAGCAAAATATGTTTTAATTTGCAAATTTGTGTTTTCATAAAGGGTTCGCCTATCTAACTTTTCAACTAGTTATTTTGTGGTTAGTAGTTTTCAATTTTGGCCAACCGAGGAAGCCATTTGAATAAAATTATTATCCATCATTAACTGCAAGGATTGTTCATAGTTTTAAATGAAAAAGAGAAAATAATCAGTAACTTTTATCTAGAGCATTTTGAAAAAAAAATTTTGGACTCTCTAAATGAGCGTCTTTATCATAATAACCACTGCTATTTTAAAGTATGAAGCATTTATAAGTGAGTAGTACGATTTTAAACTTTCAGAAACCTTTGAATGCTACGAATGCAATAAATTATGAATTATGCCAAGTACAATTAGGCAATTGATTAAAGGACAAATATTTGAATAAATAAACGTTTCAGTGCTTAATTAACACAAATCACATCGATCTTTTAATATTTCATATCACATCATATCATATTTTAACTTGATCTTAATTTTGATTTTAACGATGATCGATATTTTATGACAAAATATACGATTTTTTGGCTTGTTTTTTTTTAGAATTTTTTTTTTGTTTTTGTTTTTGTTTCTTTTCTTCTTTTCGTGTTCTGTCGCCATAGGGAACGAAACGTTCTGCGAAATGTGTGTAGCCAAACAGTCGAAGGCGAGGAAGAGAGGACTGCAGTGCCGCCTGGAGGCGGCCAGCCAGGAACGAGACAGCGAAGAAGAAGTCGACTGTTCGAAGGAGTTCCAAGATCATGGTAGAGACATTCTGATAAATAATTTTAATTGAAACGATACGAAAAACTATGTCCATCTGAAAGATTGATCTTGATGAAACTAGTTACTTTTTTCAATGATTTATTTTGTGAAATGTTGTGCAGATGATAAAAGAAAATACGAATACATATATCATGCACATAGTTCTTGATATTATTTTATTTATCATTTAAAGTAATGGTAACATTTTTTACACAATTAGAGAAGCTTTGAGGGCTGCTCAGTTACATTTTTGCTAATTCCAAAGACATTTCTAATGGCTTGGCCGATCTAAATGTTAACGATTATTTTAAATTAAATTTGTGAGAATCAAATATTGACTCATCGCATCACAAAAACAACTTTTGATACATGTTTTGAATATTAATTTTTTTAAAACTTTGATGAATTTTTAAAATTAACTAACTAATTAACACCATTTCAAAACAACATTTTTCGAATGTTCAACATTTTTGGCTTAAACATTGTCAAAAACATTTTTACTTTTCTGCTAATTACAAAGAAACGGTTCGGCCGATCGTCGCACTAAACTGAAAAACAATCATCCTTATCGAGTTACATCAACTGGTTTTTGAATTTTTGTAATCAAAAATGTTTCAATTTCAATAAATGTAAAATTAAACTTAATAAACTTTTCATGATTGCCAAGTGATATTATTTAAAGTTTTAAATTTTTGAAAACCTGCTTATGAATTTTTACGAAAACGAGTACAATTTTTGCTCACATTTTGCTGTCAAACAATTCAAAATAACTTTTGATTGAAATAAACTTTAATTGTCAAAGTTGGAATATCTGGAACGAAAAAACTTAGCGCAAAACTATTAAATATTTAAGGTTTTTTATTAAAATTGCCTTTTCATTATTGGCATATTTTCATTTAATTTTGGATGGCCATAGTTTATCCTATTATCCAAGATTATATACTTTTCAAATTTAAATAGCATTTCAGAAATTGTAGATTTATATATTACTTTAAATTTTTTTTGTATTTTACCCTTATTAATAGGTATATATTATATTATAGTAATTAACTATATTGTGCACGGAGGATTGTGAGATTGTCAGCAATAATTTACCCAAATATAGTAAAATGCATACTTCATATAACTATGAAGACATGACAAAAATGCTGAAGCTTAAAAAGAGGTTTTTGTAAGATTGTTGTAAATTTTGCCTAAAAATAGTTTGCCTATTTATACTAGAGCGAACTATAACTAATTCGATTTGAAGGCATGTATAGAACAAAAACACGACATATCATTACAGATATATAAAAGTAGTTTAAATTAGTTGTATTTGATTAGGGCATAATAAAAAAATGTCATTGTACAGTTTAATAAAAAATTCCAGCTTTGGAATAGTTTAAATTATAAATACCCTGATTTAAAACTTTTGGCCATGGTTTTTTCGGTAAAGTTTATTAAAATGATCCATTTTGAGAAAATTTGGGAAAGTGTTTCTGTGATTTATCGGTTCTTCCAAATTCGATTTCTCTTAATAATGATAATAAAAAAAATAATGAAATAATAATAATAATCATATTAAATATGCCTCTGAATTTAATTATAATTTATTTTTGTGCTTACTATATAAAATCATGTTTTAAATTACAATTTTGTTCATTGAACTAGAAAATTAGATAAATGTGAATATTTTTAAAGAAATTTATGTACTTTTATTTGCATAAATGTGGAGCTTGAATCTAGTCATCTTTTTTGGCATCATAATAATTTATATTATTTACACTGGAATTTTTTACGTGAACTTTTGAAGTAGAAAATTGTATATCATAATTCATTAAATTTTAGCTGTAGATATTAGATAAGTTTTTACTTACTGATTCAATATTTATACTTGTACATTTCACACTTAATATGTGTCTGATTTTTGTATGTAGAATGTGATAAATGTAATAATATTGGGCTTTCGTATTTAGGAAATTGACTTGTATTTTTAAATAACATCATGTAAAGCCTAAAATGTCATGTTCACACAAATATTCAAAGATTTGTTTGTATATGATTCTTTTAGGTGCTCAATGTATTTTTATGTGTAGCATTGTTGTATATGTTTAATATGATTTTATTTTCAGACCTGCACTTTTGGCTGTATATATTATAGTATTAAAAATACCTGTATGATTTGCATATAAATAAGTTGATGCTTTCTGTATATATTTGCATGATAATTTTGGCATAACATCATTCTGAAATAATATTAATTTTTAATGTGTATCTAACAAATATTTAAAAATAAGACAAGTAGCAAAAACTGCAGTTTTTTTCAAAAATTTAAATTTCAAATACATTTGTTTTGATCGTGGCGATAAATGATATATGTATTATTGTTGTATTATTTTTTATGAGTATTTTTGAGTTAACTAAAAAATACTTCAACTCAAAAATATAAAAAAGTTAAGTTGAAAATTATTGATTGGCAGTGACAAATGTTTATTACAGTATGATGTTATCGCTTATCGTTAGTTGAAAAAAACATTTCTTTGCTGTGTAAATTTTAGCGCCTTAGAAAACGCCCTTGCGTAACACCTAATTTCATATTGCCCATAACTTTTTATCTTTTCGATATGACTGTTATTTCTAGGTTTATATATGTATCTATGAATTTCTTTAAATTATTTTAACAATTTTTGATGATTTTTTCAGTCGGTCCCGAATGCGAAGAATGTACGAGTATTTTGAACGAACTAGAAAATATTGATGACGATTGCGACAGGCACGGAATAAATTTTATCAAGACTCAGGATATTAAAATTGCTGAATATTATGGAGTTACTGATTTTCCAGTTTTGGTTTACTTTGAAAATGCCGTGCCTAATGTTTTTGAAGGTAACTAGTTGTTATTTTAAATATTCCATACCTTGATAATATGCGAAATTAGCAAACTCTCAAGGGTAACCTCAGGTTTACTAGTGTTTGATTTTGATGAAACTTTGCATGATGATAGAATTGATAGTCAAAACAAACCCTTTAAAATATTATAGGCCTAAGAATAAGAAAAATTATATGCATAATACGAGAAATGCTGAGTTTGACTATAAGCTTAGAATCATATTTTCTCAACTTCATTATTTCGACCAAATAAAAAATTGATGATATATTTTTTTCATTTTTAGGATCACTTTCGGAGGAAGAAGAAGTACTTCAATGGCTAATTACACAAAAAACTGAAGACAGAATTGAAATGATTACCAGAGAGATGTTAGAAAGGATGGTCGAGAATACGCAGTATTTGGCGGTGTACTTTTGTAAATTTTCAAAAATTATTATATAAAAAAACAAATTCACAATAAACATTACTATTTTTTAAAACAGAGGAACACATAAACCAAAAATAATTAAGAATTATACATGTTTTAATTAATTTTTAATTACTAATACTATTTCCTCTAGAACTAATACTCTTTTTAATATCAAACATAAAAGTATGGTATCAAAAATCAATTGTTTGGACTGTGATTCAATGTATATTGGTGAATCTAGATAAAATTGAATAAAACGGCTTAACTATTAAAAAAACCGTTTCAAAGATCTTATAACTAGAAACTAGATAAATTGAAATTAATATAGAAAAAAAATTAATTAGTTTTTTTTTTCATTCTTCTTCACTTGCACACAATTCTTGAGATTTCTGGTTTTTCGTCGAAAATTGTATTTAATACCGAAAAATTAATAACTTAATATAAATGTTTTAATGTATTTCAGATAAATCAAATTGCAATATTTGTGACGTAATATTAGAAGGATTGGAAAAAATTGATGACGAATGCGATGTCTTTGGAATACACATGGTTAAAATTCAGGATCCTCAGTTGGCAAAAAGATATTCCATCAAAACTTTCCCTGCGATGGTGTATTTCAGGCAATAATAAACTTTTAATTAACAAAGTCTTGGAATTTAAATTTTGATACCACTTTTTAGAAGAAAAATTATCACATAGATGCATCTGATCTTAACCTCATTTCTTGCTCGTTTTTTGCTAGATTCGAAGTCAGAAAAATTATTTTGGATAATATGAGTTTTATGTATAATTTTAATTTTTCTAATACAATAACGTCAATATTTACATAAGTTTATAAAATTCGGTAACTATATTAAACGGTTCATATGGCTTTGCTATAGAAGTAGTAATTTAGGAAGATTTAGGACAGTTAAAGGCAGAATTTGCTATACTGATTTACCTTATAATTTTTGTAGGAATGGAAATCCTCTACTTTTTGAAGGAGATCTTCAAAATGAAGAATCAGTTTTGGAATGGCTGATTGATGATGATAATCGCGAACTGGCTGATGAAATTGAGACAGTTAATGAGAGAATGCTGGAACGATTACTTGATGAATCAGTATTACTGGCAGTCTTTTTCTGTAAGTATTTACTGGGCTATAAAAATTAAATTAATATTATCTATTATCTATTATCTATTATTATCTATTATTGTATTTTGAATAAAAATTAATTTTATATTTTTTTATATATTTTTCTTTATATTTTTTATTTCAAAGTAACACCATTGCACATTCAACCAAGAATATTTCAAGTGGGTTTCATGGTAAAAAAAAATAGTTTTTTGACATTTTTGAATATGTATTCAATAATGTATTATATTTTACAATATTTGTTCTGTTTTATTTAAGATGATGACGATTGTCCGGAATGTGAAGAAATTTTGGAAGAATTGGAACAAATTGACGGAGAGGCTGATTTGTTTGGAATTGACTTTGTGAAAATTTCAAGTCCTGAAGCTGCTGAAAAATATAACATAGTTAATTTGCCATCTCTGGTAATCATATAATATTTTTAAAATTTATTCGTGTAAAGCTTACTATAACTAAATTAATAAGTACTTGAAGGATACAACATACTGTATAAAATATAGGTAAAAATCATATGTAACGTCTTTGACCGTTTAAAAAATTATTGTCTTTTATAAAGGTTCTTGGATTCAAATTTTTTTTCTGGAAATTTTAATTTAAAATTTATATTTTTTATAGGTATATTATCGTAAACGTGTCCCAATGTTGTACGATGGTGATTTACATCAACATGAAAGTATCCTTGCTTGGTTGACTTCTCAAGACGTTTTCGAAATCAAAAATGAAATTGAAGAAGTCAACAAGAAAATGTTAGATAAACTTCTCGACGAGAACGAATTTTTGACAGTTTTCTTCTGTAAGATAAAAAACTATCAAATCAACTAATAAAATTTTCAATGGTAATATTTTTTTCCTAATGTTTTAGATGAGTTGGACCACGATGAGAGTGAACAAGTGTCGGCCAAATTGGAAAATATCGATGGGGAACTTGAAAATTTGGATATTACTTTTGTGAAAATGTCAGATGCCAGATATGCCAGAAAATGGGGTGTCATAAAATTGCCTGCGATAGTTTACTTTAGGAAACGGTTTCCAAGTATATACAGAGGTAAAAATAATATATATATATATATATATATACATATACTAGCTGGCCCAACAGACTTTTTTCTGTACCCTCATCTACAAATTAAAAATACGATTTTTTTAATATCTTATACTGATATTTATTGTTTAGTTAAAAATAATAATTATTAGTAGATGTACATTAACACCTTGGATTATTTTACGCCATATAATTTTTTCAATAATATTGCCTATAATTTTTATAACCTCGTACCATATTTTACCTTTTTTTTAGTAAATATAATTCTAGATTACATTTTAGTAATTATAATTCGAGATCTAGAGTAATTCTAATTGTTTTTTTTAGTAATTATAATTCTAGATCTAGATTACATTTTTTTCACTAATAATAGTTCAAAATGTACATTATTACTTAAGTTCATATTTTATGTGAATTAATTTGTTAAATCCTGTTCATACGTGCACTATTCTATCTACGATCAACTAACTAAATACTCTATATCCAATGCCAAACAAATGAATTTTTGACATAACAAAACTTTTAAATAATTTTTTTAATAAGTAATTATTTTTGTATTAGAAATTAATTCAGTAAAGTGAGGCAAAATTATATAATTTCATTTTCCAAACATATACTGTATCTTATATTATTTTAAATTCTGGCACATCTCAGCTGCTTATTGTTAGTAATAATGTAGTCATTACATTTTTCTTATTCATAATCATGAATATATTATATTCTAATAATATCTAGGCTCATAAGCGCATTCAAATTTCTGACAGTTGACAGTTCTCATTTAACTAAATGTTTCCAATGTTAAAGAATAACATTTTTTTTTTGTTTTTTTTTATTTATTCCTACATTATTACTATATTTTTATAATCATTTACATTTAAAAAATTCCCCTTAACAAACTTCAAAAAGATTTATCAAAATTCGAATAACCGCGTAGGAGTTTTAATTCATACATCCGTGCAGCAGAATTTTATATATAAGATATTTTATTTAATAAATTTAATGAATTTTATATATGATTTTCATAAGATATTAAATATCTTATATATGAAATTCTGCTGTGCGGATGTTTAATGAAAACCCCTACGCGGTTTTTCGAATTTTGATAAATCTTTTTGAAGTATGTAAAGGAAAATTTGTAAGATGTTTTACATTACTTCAAAACGATCCAAAAACTATCTAATTGTATTCCAAAAAATAAAATATCATTGTGTTTATTTATTTCTCTAGTTGAATAAAACAGCGTTCAGCAAAACGTCTCAAAAAATTAAAAATTACGTATAGCACGATTTCAAAATTGTTTAGGATTTTGGGAATTTCTATATTATTGCTTAAGCCTTTTTATTTAATTTCATGTAGTAATAATGAATTTAAAAAATAAAATTTATTAATGTTTAATTTCAAAAAACATATTTGGATTATTGACTTTGACTCATTGAACTTTTGAGATTTGAATGCTATTTTCAAGATTTTTATACTGGAATTTTTTATCATATTTTTGTAAATCAATTCAATCGTATAATAAAAAAATATGTGTTCTAGAATATGAGCAGATATTATTTTTATCACCAAGGATTTTGGAAATTGGAAAAATTAACTATTTTGTCACCAATCTATCTTAAGTCACAATTTGAGCAGTTGATTCGGAATACCAGATTTCTAAAACGTTTGAAAATGAAAGTAGTTTTAGTGTTAGTAGTAGTGTTAAAATTAATGATTAGCAAAATATACTAGTCCAACAGTGTGACAAAATAATTTTAGTTACTTCAAACCAAAAAAACATTTTATGTCATTTTACTAACTATGACTAATCTATCCCTTTCCTCTTCAGGTGACATGTTGTCAGAAACCGACGTCCTCGAATGGTTAAGGAAAAACCGTTTTAGACAACCAGAATTGAACATTTTCATGTATGCCCTGATAGCTATTTCGATAGCTTTTGTGATCTATACAGCTTTTCTGCTCCAGTGCTTCAGGACACCTCCTCCTGCACCTCCTGCCAACCCGAAGCAATCGTGAAACCAGAACCAGTAAATAAATAACTAACATTTAAAGAAAGGCCATTCGAAGATCATTCTAGGGAAAATTATTAGGCGGTAACATGTACGTATTGGAAAAAAAATATTTGGATTATTGACTCGGAATTTGTTAGACTCTTGAAATTTTGAGCAAAATATGGTGAATTTTATAGAGAATTTGATGTTATTTGCAAGATTTTTGATACAGGATTTTTTTATCATATTTTGGTCGATCAATCCATTCATATGATAAGAAATTATGCAGAAAAATTTAACTATTATGTTCTGAATTCTAGTAGACAAATTTATATTCGATAAAATCGATTGCTTATATTTTATGAATCTTGATTACTACATTTTCATAATCATTTACATCTTGAAAATTCCCCTTAACAAACTCCAAAAAGATTTATCAAAATTCGAATAACCGCGTATGAGTTTTCATTTAAACATTCTTGCAGCAGAACTTTATATATGAGATATTTATGCTTCACGTTACTTCAACTTTGAATTTTCAAAAATTCAAAAAGCTTCAAAAGTTCAAATTTTATTTGTTTATTAAATTTGTAGTATTGAAGTTTGTATTCTATTGCTTAAAACTAAAATTTTAACTTAATAAATTCTGGTGCCTAAACATACTTGTTTGCTTATATGTTTTGAAACTGAAAATTGGATAGATTTTAGTTTAGAACATTTTATTTAACAAATATTTTTTCTTTAAACTAAATTACTTTGATCATAATTATTCCAATCATAAGATTTTTCTTTAAACTGAAAAAGTAGAAGTTCTTCTAGAAAATACTTCTTGGAACTCAATATCTCTCAAATTTCATAAAATTCAGTGATACCTAGAATTTGTTTACCAAAATTTGCGACTAAAACAGATAATTTTTAATTTAAATTCAAATTTTGAGAAATCCTTTTTTTGTTAAAAATACGTATAAGCCCCATCGAAATTCAGGAGCTCACTGCCATTTTACTGCAAATAAATAAATACTTAATTAAATAAATAAATCTACCATCATCATATACTAAGGTAATCTTAAAAATTGTGTTCTTTTAAAAATAAGTGATCTTAAATTTTTTTTGAACCAGAAATCTCAATAAAATTATTTTAATATGTACAAGTAAATGTTAAAAATATTGATAACAAAATAAACTATAGAATGACATTAATTTCATTTTGACTTAATTACTGCTTTTTATTTTTTAGTAATTATAATATAAATAATTTAATGTTAATACTTTAATAAATAATAGTTTAGCTTATTAGGTTTTAGGTAACTTTAACAAATAAGGAAAGAAACTTGTCAATATTTAAGAAAATCGTTTTTTATCGGAGCTTAAATTTAAATAAAATATTAAATTAATTCTTTTAGGTAGTTGGAACATTTTTGAAAATAAAATAAATTGCTAATGGAAAATATTTTATATAAATTGACCCTTTGCAAAATTTATTTAATTAGCGCTCTCATTTAATCAGTTCAATGGAGTGACTGAACTACAATTCTTGATATCAAGAATTAAATTTTGAAAATTATTTAGATTTTAAAATTTAGTAAATATTGCTTCGTTTTTATTATTTTTACTCACTCACCAATATTTTCAAAATAACTTATCATTAACACGTTCGTTGCCACGATAATATCAGAAAAAATTTCACATGGACCATGGTAACTTAATAACTTTATTAGACAATTTAGTTAAAAATAAATCAAGAAAACTTAGAGTATCAAAGAATTTTTTTTTTTTTCCAAAATTTTTAGAAAAACACTTTTTATATCACACATATTTGACTGACATGATCCTGTACATCTGCCATATTGCAAATTTTATTAAAATATGAATCCTTTACCTCAGCCGATAAATAACGATTTTTTTACAATATTGAACAGTTCTTCATTTAATTTAAATACAATTCAAATTCAAATTTGAATGTATATTATTACGAGACATATTTCTATAGATGTATGTAACACGTTTCTCGCATCTAACAAAACTCTGAATGAATGTGATTCAATAATAATAATATTAATAATAATAAATCGCCGGCATTATTAATATTTCTATTCGCTTCCTATCCTTCTAGACGATTTATTAATTTTAACGTTAATTTCAACACGATTTATAATTATATATACAAAACAAATTCCATATAAGAGATGTACATCTATATTCTAAGGCGTATTATTGTATATATTATATTATATTATTCTCTGTTTCGTAAACATTAGTGTAAATATGCGAAAGTGTAAATAAAGATCTTGTTTTAATTTTAACGATTTCTTATTTAACTTACATTTATAAGACATGAAGTGCCAAATTATTCCGGAAAATAGATCAATGTTACACTGCGTTTTTCATATAAAATGGTACTAAAAACTATCAAAATGCTATGTAGTTGCTGTGCTGTTTATTACCTAAAGTCTAGCCTAGAAATCGCATAAACATAAAAAAAGAAACTAAGTGCATCTTTCGGATTTGTCATGGTAACATATGAGTGAAGTTAGATTTTATGTGTGAAACGTCTGATTGCACAGAAAATACCCCTTTTGCTTTTGGCAGTTTTTAGTACCATTTTATATGAAAAACGCAATTAAAAAAATGTTTTTAAAAAATTGTTTTCTTGCAGCAACTAGAGCAGTTTCTTTTTGGGGTTTTACAAGATGCAACCAAAGGTTGATATATTTTTTATTAAAATGTATCTAATACTACCGATTATATTTTGTTGTTTTTAGCTGTTATTTGTTGCAGATGGCACTTGTTGTCCCTTCCTAACTACGTCCTGAAAGGTCACTCACATTTGATATTGCATTCAAAATATGTAATCTCAATTGAAATTTTGAAATCATACTTCTTGATATTAGCCTGTCAAGGTAGAGGCAAATCGCATTGAGTATGAGCTATCTTTATTTAATATCATATTTTCAACTTCCCCTGGTGTAAGTTGTAGTAATTGCGAAAAAATCGAAAATGAAATTTTTTGCATATCTTTACGTTTCAAAAGTTTTTGAACATTTTGGCATACTTTAGAAAAAATGGATGCATGTGTATGCGTACGTATTTTTGGTTACAATTTTTCGAGCGCATAGATCAACCGATTTGAATGATTCAAAAATTCTGAAGACGTGCTAATTAGTTTTTGGAAAAAGTCGGTGCAATCGTTTAGGAGGCATGAAGAAATTTGAAATTAAGTTTTTGAGAGAACAGAGCATCCAATTTGAATGATTCAAAAAATATTTAATTTATTATGATGAGAAGACGTGGCGATTAGTTTTTGGCAAAGGCATGCCCAGGCGTTACAGAGATTAGAAACAAAAAGTGTAAAAAATTGCAGTTTTTGAGAGAGCTAAGCTTCCCATTAGAATTATGTAAAAAACATAAACGATTATTTTAGGAAGGCAAAAGAATCCCAAAATATCAAAAAAAAATTTTTTTTGAAGTTTTTTTACATAAAAACATATTTTAACTTCCCGTAGGGCAAGTTATAGTAATCGCAAAAAAATCGAAAATGAAAATTTTTATAGATCTTTACGTTTCAACACCTTCGGAACATTTTGGCATACCTTAGAAAAAATGGATGTATCTGTGTGTGTGTATGTGTGAGCGTGTGTATGTATGTATGTGCGGATACAAATTTTCGTCGACGATTTCGGGAACACGGATGAAGCGATTTGAATACTTCAAAAACATTCGATTCGTATTGATAATAAGACGTGCTGATTAGTTTTTGGCGAAAGCAGGTCTAGCCGTTCCGAAGATACGGGGCAAAAAGTGCCAACAACGGTATCTCAAATTTTAAGAGAACGGAGCGTCCGATTTGAATAATTCGGACAATTAATCATTTTACTTGTATTAACAATATCAAGAACTGATCAAATTTTCATGAAGGCAGGTCTAGCGGTTTCGGAGATCTTATGAAAAAAGTAAAATAAAATGCCATTCGGCGGTTAAAAATGATCATTAGATATATGCACATCAAATTATCAGATATTTTATAGAGATTTTAACAATAAGTATAAATTTTGTTTACATTCTTATGGGTTCCGTACCAATGCTTATCCGTTAGACGGCGGCGCGGCGTTTACGCACTTCGATATTTCGTCTCTATGCAGTTCAAGCAGGACGATTGCTTTAAAAAAAAGTTCAGAATTTCCAAAATATGATAAAATAAAGAAAACATTTTTTTTCAAAAAAACATTATTCAAAAAAAAGTAGTTTTTTGTCAAATTTATAGTTTCTCAAAAATCTAATATTTCCGAAGTAAATTTTTTTCAAAAATGTTAATCGTTTTTTAAAAAAAAATTTTTTTGTTACGGGAAGTTCCAGCAATTTGCCTTAAGGCACGATGCCATGCGCCCCACTAGTTATTGTTTTTTATCCTCAAATAATTAATACTGGTACGGAAAGTTCCAGCAATTTGCTTTAAGGCACCGCATTTGCCATGCAACCCTAGTTGATCTATAGTTTCAATTGAAAATAGATATCACTACCCATAGGGATCAGACTGGTGCCCATAGAGATGAGGAACACAGCGGGTGCAAGGCCAAAGCGCTGCGCACTAAACCACGGTACTTTCTACAGTTATCACTACTAGATTTCTACTAGATATATTTCTACTAGATATCACTACCCATAGAGATCAGACTGGTACCCAGAGAGATCAGGAACACAGCGGGTGCAAGGCCAAAGCGCTGCGCACTAGACCACGGTTTTTTCTACACCGATTTTATAAAAGGTGCAATAAATTTATATCAGAACCACACTTCTATATTCCTCTGCAAGATACCGCCACTAAATATACACCATCAACCTCTTTCTACCTACAACAATCGAATTGCGTATATACTAGCTAAGTTTCATTGATCCGTCTGCCGAAGTTGCGCATTGTCTCCGCTTTCAGTACAATGAGAACTCAAACAGCTGATAAGTGTCAAAGTAACAAGACCATTTCTATTAATACTACGTTATTTTTAATTAATAATCGTTATAAAAGTTATCGTTTAATACGATTCTGTGATGTTGCTATTGTGGTGAAATGAAACTCGAGAGAGGTGTTCGACAAGAAATGTGATGTGATTGGGAATCGTATCAAGCGGTAAGAACGAGGTTATAAATAGGTTATGTGTGGTTGAAAGAAATGCAGGGGTGAGGAACATTTTGGAGTATGTGTTTTTTATTGGGTTTTTAAATAAACACGTGCTTAATCTATTCTTCTATAACAGAATTACATTTAGGTATAAAATACGTTGTTGTGTAATGTACATGTTCCGTTTTCTATAATGTATATATTACGTATAAAATACGTATATATAGGTATATATATTTTGTATGATTCTGAATTTGATGTTGACATATGTATTAACAAAGTCTAGTAATCGGGCATAACATCAATAAAAAACATGAATCTCTTTCAAAAATTTATTTTAAGTCCATACGTTTCGGCTACAATCCTAGCCTTCATTCAGTGGAAACTAAAAATAAAATTAAAAACTAAAACAATAGAATTGGAATGAAAAGAAAAAATAAAATAGTACTTACAATTAATTATTCTTAGTGCTAAATTGGAAAATTTTAATAATCCATGGTATCAGGATTTGGTAATGCACTACACTATGTATTATAAACTTTAAACTTGTAATTACACAATATTTTCACAAAAAACTAATTTAAAAAAATCACAATTGGATAGTGTTTTGTTCGTAGACTGGTTGAAGATATAATGGAGAAAGGACTTTTTAAAAAATATTTTTTACCAAGATTCTACACATGTGTGGAACGAATTGCGAATACTTTGCGCGTCGTTTTTATTGTTTTGTGAGAAATTTGGAAATACTGTAAATTGTTAAAAAAGATCCTTCTCTAATTCTTCGGTTGAATAAATTTTGTTTGAATTGTAGTACAGTCGGGTTAGAAAAGTTCATATTGTGTTTTAAAGTATAAATATGCTCTGCTATCATAGTTTTAAACTGTCTTGGATTTTTTTAATTGTTTTTATGTTGTTGTAAACGTTTCATTAAGTTCTGGCTTGTTTCTCCTATGTAAATTAAATTACAATCTAGACAATTAATTTGATAGACGAGATTTCTAAGTCGTTCTATATTAAAAGGGGTTTTTGTTTTGGTAAAAATAGTACTAGTCGTTGTACTAAAATTGTTTACAAGTCGGAGTCCAGATTTATAAAAAAGTATATAATATATATATATATATATATATATATATATACTAGCTGACCCGGCAAACGTTGTTTTGCTAAGTAAGGTATATTCTAAACAATTTCTAGAGAATCAAAAATATTAATACTTTAAGTGTATAAGGATGTATTGTTTGAATGCTATAAAGCCTATTAGTTGTCTATATTTTGTCAATACAATCAAACCGGAAGATTTATACACTTTCTATAGAAAACTTAGTATAATTCATTCAAGTCTTTTTTTGGTATTTCGACTTATTGATTACGTTTTAAGCTTTTCGGATTCTTTTGCATTCTGGATTTTGTGTATAATTGTAAATAATACTACTGAGCTTATACAAAATTTTCAAATTGTTGCGAGGGGCGATAGAAAATGAATTAAGTATTTCTTCTTTGGCCTGCCTTTTGAAAAGTTTCAAGTAACATTCGATGAATTAAAGTAAATTTAATTAAAAGTATATATGTAGAGCAGGGCGAGGCACGAAGATCCAATTTGATTTTGAGAAAATATAAACTATATTGTGAAAAACATAACAATTATATCACAACAAATAACACATATCAAACGAACAATTATTATGTGACTACGTTCAGTAAACTGCCTTCTACTTCATCATTGTAGAAATGTGCTTTTTTTATGTCTTTCACAAATTTGTTATCTAGAACTTTTTCCCGGGGTAATTTGAAACGTGCAGGTGGCAAAAAGGTTCAAAGCCTTGTTATAATTTTAAAGGTATTTTACAAAATAATTACATTTTTAACTAATACTAAAAAACCACCAACGGAAGAAAATACTTTTATTATGGATTTTAAAAGACTACCGTTTATCTCCCGATAGCAAATTCATGAAAATCGAGGTTATAGCTGGTTATACATCTTTTTTCCTCTACTTTCAAATATTGTTGTTAAACAATGCTTAACTTTACTGATTTTTGACACATTGATGGTGGATCTTTTTAACCCCGGACCTTCATATATCTACTCCTCGATAAATTCTGGGAAATTATAACTGGGAAAATGTTATTCGACAAAATGTGTATTTGATCGATACCAAATTTAGATTCTGAATTTAAATAACAGAAATAAAAATTTAAATAACCTATAAAATATTTTATAAATACCAATGAGTATATAAATTATACAAATGATATCTTTCAGATGAGAATTTAATAGAAAAAACTTGAGTTAAGACCATTTTTAAATAGTGTTATTATTATTATTATTGAACACCAAATTTATTGCTTTTGAGTTATTGTTAGGATTAGAAACATATTGATTTACACTTTCAAGTAAGAATTGATTAAAATTTTGAACCCAAACCTTGTGGTTATAATTTGTTTTGAGACTCAAAAGTATATATTTTTTTAACTTTTCGGAGGATAAATTTGTTTTCTCTTTTTCCTCAAAAAAAATTTAATCAATTTAAAAAAAAATTCAAGCAATTCAAAGACATGTGTTTATTAGTTTGAAGCGATGATCGTACCAGTCGTTTCTTGAAAATAATCAGATTTTTTTTAAATTCAAAATTTGATAAACTATTCGAATGATTTCAGACTGGACCGTTTTTTCGTAATTAGCTATTAAAACTACAGTGAGAATATTTGTATCTAAACGAAAAACAGTTATTGTAGGCCCTCGAAAACTGGTTCAAATATAATAATTGACCATTTCAGAAATTTATACACATCGGAAAGTTTATGTCACTTGCTTTAATGCAATTTATACATAGCTTCAATTTTGGTGTCAAACGATTCGCAGTGACTTGAAACGTCTTGAAAAAGTAAAAGGAGTAAACCGTATATTCTGCAGTTGTCAACTAATGCCGACTTCTTAAGGATGTTCAAAAAAAATATTTTGATCTCAATATTATGCCATAACAAGAAAAAAATTAAAGCAACTACTAATTAGTGTCAATATTCACTATCTGACCATAAAAATTATGAACTTGACTGTTTCTGCTGATTATTTCTAATCTCCCACAATTCATTCTTGACAAGTGACAGAACACAGGGATCCCATTATAAAACTGCATAGAATATTTTTCTGCTGGCAGAACTTATTCAAGGACTCGACAAAGTTATTTTCGTTCGCGTTTTGTAGTATATTTTTCTCTAGAGTTAAATACGTTTTTTTATTTCGAACAGTTTGTCAATGCTAACAACTTATTTGGCACTCTTTAACAATTGATTTATATTCAAATTTCTGCGTTTTAGAACTTTCAATGACAGACTGAAAAATTTAGAAAACAAGCAAAATGAAAGCGAAGGAGATTATTTATAAATATTTATAATAATCTTTTTTTGGACTGATTGAAATGATGTAATTTCAGGATTAATTTAATTTTAATGAATCAAAATTGGGAGAAGTTAAATATTTTGTTCATATTTTTTTGCGTTTGATTTTTTCTTTATATTTCAATTCTACCAGGAAATCAGTGCGGAGTTTTTTACATCTTGCTTGAATATACAATGTCTAAATCCAATTTCCTCTTTGCATTCTGTTAGAATATATATATATATATATATATATATATATATATATATATATCCATATATTACATCAGCTTCAAAACATCAGAACGTCCTGCGCCTGAGCAGATCTGTCAACTGATGTATGTCCTATGCGTCATCTTGCAGACATACATACATACACTTTAATTAAATAAATAATTATGGAAACATTGATAGATGCTACATATTTCATCAATAACGAAATTTAATTTAGTTCAATTCATCCGAACCAAATTTGTACCTAGCATGGCCAAAATTGTAGATATGTACATAGGTCACATATGCATCCCATCACATATGAAAATATGATGTGATGGTTTATATTTTTTTGCATATATATTTACTTCTGTTCAGTCATGGAAATTTAGGAATTGAACAATATTTCCATATTTGTTCAACTAAATTGTAACGTGTTAATATCCGTATAAAAGCATGTTGAAGTATCACATAAGTGAAAGTACACTTATGTATTTTTATGCAAATCATGGCCCAGATAATTAATATTTTCACTATGTGTTCCATACCCCGTTTATAAATGAATAATTTATTCACTAAATGTAAAATAAAACACGATTGATAAGAAATTGTTAATGGTATTAATGAAATTAAACGTAATTTCTAGCCACACCATGATCTTTGAAACACTTAATTTAATACATGTATGTAACACATAAATGCATTTATTTAACAAATATTGGATTATATTAAATTATACTATTAACTATATAATTAATAGCTAATGTATCAAAGTAAAACATGAATTTTTGTATTGTACGTTTCGAGAACCATATCTGTCCCATCATTCAGCGTAAAAAAAGCGCTAATACAATTTTATTAAACACAGTTTACTTATTGTTAAAGATTTTTCAAATTATTTAAGGGTACATGACATCCTAAATTTGTTAAGATCAAATAAAATAAAAAATAAGTGTATAATGTATTATAAGTAATACAATGTATTTCTGATATTTATAACATTTGGCTTTACTCCGGTGATTTTATTTATGACGAAAACACTTCAATTCACTTTTGCTAATAATAAACTTGCACTATGTTTATCTCTATTGATTTATGCAAAATTTCAGCATTTATGCAATATATATTTAAATGAATCACTCTGGCAAATTACATAAATACACCATATATAATATAGTAAACTCGTTCATTTTAAAATATTTTCAACACGTTAAACTCCACGTCAGTCATATGTGTCTGACGCTAAGAGAGAAAAAAAGTTTTAATATAGGACCATTAGGGTGGTCCTTAATATGGACATTTTCGGATTTTATTGCTACCAGGGGCTTAAATGCTTCCAAACTGATGAAAAAAAATTCTCTAAAAGTTTTAGCTCTTAATATTAACTTTTAGATAGTGCGCAATTCAATCAAAGCTTCG